AATGTAAGTAAAAGTATAAGTCACAGTACTTATGAAACTGTCACAGATGCTGCTAGTGACCCTAATAAATGGAAAGGTTTACTTTGACTCATGGTTTTAGGGGCTTCAGTCCATGGTTAATTGGCCCTGTTACTTTGGATCTGTAATGACACAGCATAGTGGGAGCACATGGCAGCAGAAGCTACTCATCTCATGGTAGCTGGGAAGGGAAAGAGAGAGAAGGGCTCAGGGTGACAATACGCTCTTCAAGGGCACACCTCAATGACTCAACTTTCTCTTGGTTAACTACTTCCTGTTAGTGCCACAGACTGTCAACCAAGTCTTTTAACACATAGGGTTTTACGGGGACACTCTAAACTATAGCACACAGCAGCCTTCTGAAAATGATAAAAAAAATTATAAAAGGCATATTGGAGCCCCTTGGATGGGCTAAGCAGGCCAGAAATCACACAAATGCCTAAGCTTGCTGACATTAGACTCGAATAGAATAGAATACCAGTGAGACTAGGATAAAGTACAATACAGTCCAGTGAGAGGTGACATATGAGGTAGGCAAAGATTAAATGATTTTCAGATCCTTTCTTCAAAGGTTGATCTGTCCAAGTCAAGGCCAATAACATTCCAGACAACTTGAATGTGAATGTGGGAATTGTACTGGTTACTTTTGACATTTTTAAGAAGTAAGGTTATGACACTGAAGAATAGAAGAAGCATTACTATGATCTGATTTCAAAAGTAATACTCAAAGGATATTTTAAATTCTATAGTGATGGCTATGAAATAAAAACCAGAATTGCTTTTTCAAATAGATGCTTTATTGCTACATTATAAAAGAGGTACTAATAATTAATAAAAAATTGCCAATTAAACTAATACTCTTAGTAGATTCACTGACAGATTAATACAAACTTATTTTGTATCCAGATTGCCAGGCAAATGGGTTTCTTATCATCTTCTGGTAAACAAGATGGATGCACTGAGTGATCGCCACTCAGAGATTATTGGGAGGTTGATATGTTTGATTCCAGTCAGTTGATATGCATTATGCCTATCGACCTAGGCAGTGTTGATATTTTAGACAGGACAATTATTTGGGGTTTTTTTGAGGGGGGGGATAGCTTCTCTGTATACTGCTGGTTTTTTAGTAGCTGTCTTTATCTAGTAGATGCCATTCTCTGTATTTACCCAAAACATAACAAGCCAAACACTTTCCAGACATTACCAGATATCCCTGGGGCAGCAAAAGTAACTGCAGGTGAAAAGCATTTGTAAGGTCTCTTGAGGCCTTCTGCAGATATCTTTCTTAAGGGATCAACTTTTATCTAGATGTATATAAAATTTGCTGATAACGAATGTTAGGACATCACGTGAAAGAACCAAGATATAAATTAATCTCAGTTGACCAGTATTTAAATTCAATACACAGAAACTTCTCATGGTTAGACATGAAATCCCACCTTTAGATTCAAAAAATAAACTCCATGGGAAAAAGTTAAAGGAAACTTGTTTTAGAAAGAAATCTAACGGTTTTAGTTGATGAATCTAATTTGAACAAGTATATGTTTCTTTAAATAATTAAAACTTAAGTGCCATTATCAGAGTAGAAAAAGATCCTAATAAAGTCATTGTAATCTGGTTGATCAAGTATTGTAGTCATTCAGTATCACAGTTTAGGAACAAAGGTTTGAGACAAGCTTATTAAGAAGTCTAGAGACCATATAATTTGAGAAAATTATGGCCAAGGGAAAACAATGTTAACATTAGAGAAGACAAAACTCAGATAAGGCTGAGGAGGTGGATGGTATTGGAAAGGCTGGCATGTGGAAGAGGGCGTATGTTCTATTTTGCACAAAAAATAGAACCAATGAATAGAAATTATAGAGAGCTATATATAAGGAACCACAATTGTCTTACAATGAAATGCATATCTATGATGGTCAGCCCTGACTGTTAAGTTGTTTGGCTTGAGACATAGCTGGATTATTAAAGCACACTTCTGGATATGTCTAGATGGGCTATGGGGGTGTGACCTTGGGGGCTATATCTGCTCCCTGGCCTCTTCCTCTCCAGCTCTTTCCCTGGTCTCTGCTTCCTGGCTGCCATGAAATGGGCAGCTTTCTGCTACCATAGCCTTCACCATGATGTTTCTGTCTTGGACGGAAACCTCTGAAACCTTGAGCCAAAATGAAACTTTGCTCCTTTAAACTATGTATGTCAAATATTTTGTCCCAGAAATGGGAAGCTGACTAATCTAAAAGCCTTGGAAAGAAGCTACCCTTCTTGTAGCCATGGCTGGACAATGCTTTGTCTGGGACATTGTAGAATGTTGTTTCTATGGTAAAAATATTAACTCAAAGTTCTATTCTTAAAGTTTTGTTATGGTTCTACTCAGTAGTTGCTTAGTACACTTTCATTTTACCTATTAAAGAGGTAAGATTTTGTTTGTTTTAGAAGACAAGGTCTTGTTATATAGTCTAGACTGGCCTTGAACATGCTATGAGGCATTGGCTAGCCTTGAACTTGCAATCCTTCTTGCCTTGACTTTCTGAGTACTAGAATTACAGGTGTGTGCCATCATGCTTGGCTGAAGAAATTTTTTTCCACTACAACATTGCCTTTTTGTTGTTGTTCTGTGATATAATGTCTTACTATATATTCCTGGCTGGCCTCCAACACATGATCCTCCTGCCTCAGCCTCTTGAGTGCTGGGATTACAGTTATGCACCATCACTAAAATACTGAACTCTGATTATGCAAAAACACTTAAATTAGCTATGTTTTTTGATCCTCACAATTCTATAGGTTGTCTCATCTCAGTTTTACAGCTGAATAAACTTTGTATGATTGAGTCGGATTACCCAAGGTCCCATAGCTAGTAATTTTCAAACCTAGGATTTAAATCTAATTTGTTATAAAGTTTGTGTTTATGACAGATTAGTGTTGAGATTATCTTGCCTAAGGGACATTGCTCCAAACAGTAAACTTCTGAACTATTACAGATCAGAGGTATTCAATAAGACTTAATTATCATTATTTTTACTGGAAGACTGCTAGTGTGCCTTGGTATTTCATTTTTTCAAGGTGTTATGGTTGCTCAGTGGAGCTGTTTAAACCAACCCAATTTCTTTCATAGGGGTAAAGTCAGATGAAAGACATCAGATGCCCTTAAATATCCAAGTTCCTCACCCAGAGTTGCTGTCTCATTCGAAGGAGCTGCACTCAATGACAAGATGTATGTTCCACAGTTAATCCAGAGCCACTTGGCCTCCTGGATTAAGGAAGATTATAAAAAGTGATCAAAGATGCCTTTGACTATCTTGAAGAGCTCTTTTCTCCCTTTTTATTTATATGTAACCATACATTCAATTAGGTATTTGACAGTCTATCACTCTCAAATATCAATGACCTTTGCATGTTTAAAGACAGATGTTTTGGTTGGTGAGGACCTTGTTGGATATTGGATATATACAGACTATCTTCAAAATGTAGATCAAGTGCTCCAATCCTTGGAGAAGTTTACCATCAGATGAATATGAAGTTGTTCACAAGAGTGGATATATGTGTGATGAATAGAGTTTGTATGATAATTCTAAATAAAAATTTGAAGAGTGAACTTGTAACTATGAAGCAAGATTAATTTTCACGAAAATTATTTAGCTAGCTGGATATCTAGTTATCAAGGTTACTTCTTCTGTATAATAGAATGGTACTACTAAAGTGGGTTCATGACATCCCCATGATGTTTTCTTGATATTTAATGAATCATTCAACTTCAGTATAATTTTCTAACAAAGTTTTGTTTACATCCAGTGTCTCAATGTGGTTCTGAATTTCGTATTCCTTTAAGAAATTGATGGACTTAATAAAACACTTTTCCCAGGAAAATGTTCATCTACAAACTTTTTCCAAATTATAATAAATATATAAAATTAGAAATATTCAATTACATATATACAGTTATATATACTTAATATCACTTTCCCATACTTATAAATTGCATATATATTTGTAGCAGCTGATGCTTAATCATTGGCTTTGGGGATCTAACACTCCCAGTTCCCCAGGACAAGAAACTGTGATCTTTGGTCTGTTTATTAATCATAGGTTTTATATAGCTACTGCCTTTGGAATGCTATACATTTTTAAGGTAAGATGAATTATATAGCCTTTAATTGAGACATTAAAGAAATGTGGATTACTATACTTATTACATTTAAGAAACAGTAATATAAGAATTAAATAACACTTGTATCTATAATATAGGTACAAATTGTATTCAGCCCTCATGTTCAAATCTTTTACTTTTTGAAAAAAAGTATGATTTTAAAACACTTCCCAACTAAAACTCACTGATGAGTACTCTGATTACCAAAAAGCTACTTCCTTTTGTGAAAAATAGATACATTTATATGGAACAAGTAAGTATGTTCCTTTATACTTTTGTATTTTTTAAAATTACACAAAGCACACATTTTTGACATGTTTTCTACTATTATGTAAAATAGTAGCATTACTAGTAGTCACCTTTTATTTGTACTTAGTTATGTTAGATATAACATGTTTATATTACCCTTACTATCCTATGAGATTAGTTTTATTACCCTTAATGCACACTGAAGAAAAGTAAGGATCAAAGAAATTAGGTAAATTGTAGCTAGAGAATGAGATTGTTGGAATTAATCACAGAGTTCCTTTCTTTTCACAGAGAAAACTATATTTATGAAATGATTATCTTCATGTTGTTTTCATCTAGTTCTGGGAGTTTGTATCTTCAAACACAACACAACGAACAGATATAAACAAGGATACATTTAGTGGCTGTATCTTTAAGTGTATGAATGTAGAAACTTTCGTTGAATTTTAAAATATAGAAAAAGGAGTCAATTTTATTCCCCTGCTTGTCTGAGGACTGGACTTCCTTCCAAATGCAGTCTTTCTTGCTGTTTCACTTTATCATAAAATGGTGCCGCACACAATTTTTAAAATCAATAAATCCACAGTTGTATTAAGAAATATTTTATTAACAAAACAGTAAATTCCACTTGCTTAGCATTTCCAGTAATGGATAAATTGGCCTTGCAACAGAAAAACAAAACAAAACAAACCCCTTAGATACCCAATCACACAAAGCACTAGAAGGGTAAGATCATGTGGCCTTTCTTTGATGTCTTGGGGACTGACCATCTCACACATTATCATAGTAGTTGTTTGTTTTTTTAAAAAAGGCAACACATTACATGGATAAAAAAGAAGCATACTCAATCAGAAAAGTTACAGTCTAGAGATGTAATCAAATTTATGCCAGGTAGTGTGAAATCCTTTATTAATTACAAACTATGCATGAACCCTGATACATTTGGTATGAAGATTCTCAGATTTTATTAATCTTTTTCTCTCCCTAACTCATGTTCCTCTCTTCTCTTTCTCCAGGAAGAAAAACAGCTAGATTTTTAAATAGGCCAATAACATTAGAAATATTTTACTGGCAATATTAGATAATATCATTGCACGAAATTTTAAAATTTATGTTGGGAAGAAACATTGAAATCAATCCCAAGCATCATGCTTCACAGATACACCACTACTCAATTTATTTTTTATAATATGTTAGAATCTTTTCAGATGAAACTAGTTTAAGTTACTAGATCAAATGGAAGAGAAACCATTTTTTTAAACTTAAGTTGTAAATTAGTAGTTTTATATTCCCTTTTTATTTCACTGGCTTTCCCTGAGTAAGACTGAATGAGAGAGGTGGGGGGGGAAAAGACTTGTGAATTCTTTAACCTGGCAAATTAAAAAGAGATAAAAATCTGAAACGGAAGTAATGGATACTAAATTTTAGTTGTATACCATCCATCTACTTTCTGGGTCATGAAAAAGCCTTTAAGACTCTTCTTACATAATCACTTGGCAACCACAGACAGTGGTGATTTGCTATGAATTATTCATATTTCTAAAGTACCATGACTCTGAAATCCAGGCCACTGGTTGGCATTTTTCATCAACTAAAATATCATAGAAGATGTTTTGCATTTTTTGCCTTTGCTGGTTAAAGCTAACTCTAAAGGTATTGGTGTCTTGTATGAAATCTAGTATCATTTTAGGAGATGTTCAAGTAATGTGGCCAATTTTACCTTCCATCCTAATAATGCTCTTCCTTTGCATTGCCTTCTTATACTAATAATTTATTGCTATGAACATCATTGAAACAATATGCAAAAACAAGTGAATAATCTGTATTTTCCTACTATTTAATGCATGTTAAGCTAAAACTATATTTAATGATACAGATATAAACCAGAAAAGTTAAAATTTAGTCAAAAATCAACCTAAAGAGAACTTTTTTTAATGGGTAGTAATACAGAGTAAAAAATGATTGAAAATACTTTTTTAGTTGAGAAAGTATTTACTTTCCAAAAAGGTTTATCATGCACATCAGGTCAGAGAATATATATATATATATATATATATATATATATATATATATATATATAAAATTTCATTGGAAACCAACTTTTAAATTGCAGCAGCCAGAGATAAGGTGTAGATTACCAATTTTGCGCCCATAACCTGCCCACATAATGGTTCACATTCATGCAGCAGTATACCAGGGATATTGTATTTGATAAGAAAATGTTCCATTTCATTAGGGACTAAAATCTTCTCCAGGTCTCCTGGGAGCAAGAGCTCAGTGAAGCAAATCACCCCATTTGTCATATACCTTGGCACAGCTCTCTTCCCTCCTTCTTTTCAATGTAGGTGTTCCATCATATCTGATGGATTCCTCGTGTGTGTGTGTGTGTGTGTGTGTGTGCACGTGTGTGCGTGTGTGAGATTGCAAATGGTGAACACATGTAAGGATGTGAGCATTTGGGGTAGAAAAGATTATAAGATATATATGTATATATTTTACCTTCTAATTCACGCCTTTCATACAAATACTAAAACTTAACTGCAACAGAATGAAGGCTGTACATGTAAGAAAAAAAGTAGCTGAGTCTTTATATACATTCATACATATCTTTCTTAGAATAAACACTACAATGTAATTTTTTTAAAAAAGTAAGTAATTGTGGCAATTTATAATGGTGGCAAAAAAAATTGACTGAAATAATTGTTGCTCTATTGTCATAAAACTCCCTATACTTAGCAACACTTATAACATTGAATTTACCAAAAATGGCTGAAGAGCAGAGATATATTTTGCATTTTCTATACAACAGGCTATAAAACGTCACTTATCACAGTCCAGAAAGCACACAGAGATGGGTTTTATATAAACATATGTAATAACATAGTAAGCGTGCATGAAAATTTCCCAATGATTGCATCTATGCCCTCTTGCTTTTGTTTTGAAATTTTAGTGTGAAAATGTGCCTTATATTTCACATTTTTGAAAATAAGGCCTCCATACATTTTTTTTCTCTCACAACCAGAAAGGGGCTTTTTGAATGTATTCCTACACAAGTCTTCAAAAAAGCCAGCACTTTGTATGAAATGCAAGTTCCAGCCATTGCTCCAGTTGCACCAGGCAGCAAACTCTGAAAGGTTTGCTGGTTGAGGCCCTCACAAGGACAAGTCTTCTCTGGCAATCAGACTAACTGACTTCTCAGGAAAGCGCTAGCACTTTGGCTAAATCCAGGATCATAGGTAGCTTCTTTTTTGTGTTATGTTTTGTGTTGTTTTTGTGTTGTGCCTTGATGTTGTAATACTCCTTTGCTTTATGAATGCGTGCGGTCATCACTGTCTTTTAGAAATGTTCCAGCAACATAAAGACAGGCAGAGTAAATGAAAACACTGAGGATGTTAGGGAAATTATTGGCCCCTGTGTTTTTCTTTTTTTGTTGTTTTTTGGGTTTTTTTGTTTGTTTTTTTGAGAAACAAGAGCATGAGATACTTGTTTTGCTTTGTTTGTTTTTTTTTTTTTTTAAAAACAGTCTTTCCTTCCTGATTGCATTCCCTGTCTTCTTTTGTATGTGCTTCATAAAAAGGAAAGTAAATAAGTTTATATTATGTCTCAGATAAAATGAAGACTATTTCTATACACGTGTCCTTTTCAGATCTTGAGATCAGACATAATACTCTTTATCCTTGTTTTTCTTGTTTTTGTTGGCGCTCTTTGCGCTGCTGGGTTGCTTCTCCTTTACCACAGCCCCGTTGGACTGTGCTGAGTTACTGATGTAGTTTCGGCTCTCATCCACGTGGTATGAGCCTTCATCCCGGTTCCTGTACTTGTACATGGCATAGAGGAGGATGAGGATGCACAGGGCGGCTGCGGCCACGATCCCAACGACCATGCCCGTGGTGCTGCTGGACTCCCGGATCACTTCTGCAGAGCCAGGGTATGGCTCCCTTCCGCCCACTCGGGTTGGGTTGGCTGTAGGAAACAGGGTGAGAACAGACAGAAATGATGACTGAGTTTCTGCATGCCAGAGCGCCATCCTCACATTCTCCGCCTATCTCAGTGCCCCATGGCAGAGACCCTACTCCTTTAGGAAAAGCGTAATGTCACTAAATGGAGCAGCTAGAGACCATGACTCAAAGACCTCTGAGGGAGATCTGCTGGCATCTTTCTCACAGATCAGTTTCCTTACCATTATTCATTTTCATTATTTAAGCACAGCCCCCAATTAAGCACTAATTTGTTTTAAAGGGCCAGCCTGGGGTTTGGCGAAAAGTCATAAACCCAACACGACAAATCAGAACAGCCCTCCCTTAACATATGAGCGCAAATCATTTAAAGAATGATATTGGTGTCTCCATAGAACACTCAGGGATAACTCAGACTGAATCAGGACAGCTTAATGTAGGACTGCTTTAGAAATTATATTCCTTCCTATTCTAATGAACACAATATTGAACGATAAAATAATCCAGGCACTTTCAATTCAGTGTCTGCTTTGTAAAGTGTAATTTGAGTTACATATTTATAATCTAAAACAGAACTGATTTCCTTTCCTATTGGAGTCAGTTGTTTATGCGCATATATATATATGCACATTTCATTTATACATTAGCAGTGATTGACTGATCCTCAAAGCTAAGCTTTGGGGAAAAAAGTGGGAAAATATTCTTTCTCAAGTTTAAATATCTTCTACATTGGCTTTGAGTCAAAACTCGGGACTTAATGGATGAAAACAAAAGACTAGCTGGCCTACTTTTATTTAACTGGCAAAACCCTTATTTAATCTTCCTAGGGTATAAACAAGGCTCTCTCTTGGCACAAGCAACGGTTTGATTACAAGGTCTCCAATGTCTTCCCCAAGGCCTCATAGGTACTAAAATTGACCACAGAAGGCAAGGTGAAGGCCTGGGATTTTGCTGGTAAATAGGGAGAGGAGGATGAGCAGCTCTTTTTCTTGAAATACTTTTTTTTTCTAACTGAAAAAGAATTTTAGAGAGAAAATATACTGTTCCTCCTAGGTCACTTTTCTCTCTTTCCATGAATCTCCATCCTGTCCCTTTTCTTTCAGAAAGAGATAATATTTCAGATGTAATAAGTTAAAAATCCTCTAACTTCCCAAACATTATTCATTGTCAGCTATGAAGTGATTTTAAAATCTCAATATTATGTATACATTGCGCACACACATGGCTGTGTATGTGTTCATACACACCAGCAACTGAACAATTCAAGAAGACTAAAATTGTGCTTTTAGCTCACTACTATTAAATGTCATTTAACAATTTTTAATATGTCTGTAAAAGCTTCTGATTATTGAGAATCATTTATCATTACAGACAGCCCATATTGCTTTATAATTTTCATTTATCATTACATATAGGCCATATTGCTTTATAATTTCACTTTCAAACATGCCAATATTCTTCTGTTCAAATGTGAGAGTTTTGCTGTCATTTTCTTTTCTTTGTCCAAATAAAGTCTTAGAAGATAGTTACTTATAAAGGAATAGCACTCAGTCTCAAAACAGCAACATGTTATGTTCTGAAGCTACAAAATGGAGCAGGTGAAACCATTCTCTACTGACGATGCCACTGCTTGTTTTACACAAGCCAATGTAATGTTGCTGAATAAAAAGCCTTGGAGTCACTTCTGTGGCCAAGGTAGAAGCAGACAAAGACTACAATCCACAGCAGTTGATTACAGGAAATTAATTTCCTCTCAAGACGCATAGAACCTACTGTACCAACTCTGTCACTACCTGACAAACCAAGGCGGGCTTTCTCCTTTAAATACAGTCATCTTGCCAAAGTGTGCCAATTAGCTCAGCTGCTAACTTCTACTAAGTGACAACTTTCAACTTGCTCCCTTTGCAGAGCAGTTTTTTATCATGGTGTCTCAAAAACTAAAAAGAGAATTTTATTTAAGTGTTGCCCAAATCATTTTTTTTCCCATCTGATGGAATGCTTTCGTTTGAAATCCATTTTCACACTTATCTCACATTGTCAGAGGAAGTGGGGGTGAATGCAGATATAATTCTAATCATTTACCTCATAAAAATAAAATGTGAAGATTTTAGTGGAATGAAGGATTTTAAGTTTCCAGTGCAAGAATATACACAATATATACATTTCTACTTGGGAATTGGTGTAATACATGGATTATCTTATCCAAGAATATTAATTTTAAGTCTCAAATATGTTTTATACAGTTTCAAAACAGCTCTACATGTAGCACATTAATAATGTGTGTTGGAAAAAGAACGAGATTGCAAAGACAAAAACAAAACTTGAAATTCTTCAATTTTGCTGTCTAAGCATTTGACAAATATTTTCTGTTTGAGGAATATGCTTGGCTTTTTGGCAATACCACCCCAAATGTTGCTTAAGTCACATGAAACCTAAAAGTATCTGTATGCACTCCACATATGTTCTGAATATCCTATTTTTTAAAATAATACAAAAGAAAAACCTTAAAAAGCTAAAGTTTAAACCCCACAAAGAAATCTAGTCCCCCATTTTATCATTCCTTCCAATCACATTAAAATTTTTTTTTTGGTACCAGGGATCGAACTCAGGACCTTGTACTTGGGAGGCAGGCATCAGCACCACTGAACTAAATCCCTGGCCCACACATTAAAATTTTAATAACCACCATAACTGGTATTATTATAGATCTGTTTGCGATATACAGTTGCTTCCAAATCTAATTGATTAATTAACGTTTTTCTACTTATGTGTCAAATCTGGAGGTTAAGTGATATTTCCTTTAAATTTCATTCAAAGGTATATGTTTTAACGGGACATTTTTCTCATGCATGCAGTAATAGATTAGAGAAATTTATGTCATGAGGTATAAATGTGGTTTCATTTATTGATGGTTATTAAAGCTTTATTTTGATTATCACTGAAAAATCTCTGATGACATTTTATATTAATTTGAATGTTGAAAGTATTATAAATGGCTAATAAGGCTAAATGTGATAATGTGAAAAAAGGATTTTGAACAGAGATTTTGATCCTTAAGTAATTCTTGAGTTTCATCCATCAATTTCAGAATTTTGCATTCCTTTTACATTGCATGGTAAACTAATACGACATTTTCTTTTTTTTTTTTTTTTTGGTACTGGGGATTGAGCTCAGGACCTTGTGCTTGTGAGGCAGGTGGTGGAACCACTGAGCTAAATCCCTGGCTACAGTTTATTTCTTGATCACATTAAATGGCAACTTGGATCTTTTCTTCTTCCAGCCCCAAATCCTTAATAAACATTTTAATACCAAAGTTTTCAAAGTAATCTTTCAAATATTTGCTGGAAAATATCATTTTTCATTTTATGCAAATTACATAAACAAAGGGTGTGGATCAAGGAAAATGATAATATAATTTTATTCTATAATTTACTACTAGCTTTCTGTATGCTTTGTCTTTAATTTGGAGACACAGAGTTAAAGGATGAATTGCTAGGAAAAATGAAATATATACAGTGAAAGCGAATCAAAATAACAAAAGAACCCAGAATCCTATAATATGAGGAACAATTTAAAAATAAGGAATTAAGCCTACAAAAAGAAAAGATTTGGGCTGTCATATGGAAAAGGAAATATAAAGAGGGAGCACTGGGTTGGAAAATACAGACATAGATTTGAACTCAACTGAAAAATCTAACAAGAGCTGTTAAAGTGAAATGAAAAGCCCCAGAGGGCAGATAATATTCCATCACTGAAAATGTTCAAGGAAAAATGAGATAAGCCTGTGCCTGGGAGACTTGAAGTGATTTTGTCTGAATCACTTCTATCATCTCTTTCAACTGTAAAAGTTTCTGATTCTTTTAACCACTGTGAAATTACTAAGCAGATACACACATGGCCATGAGCTTTTTTTACAACAGTGAAAAAAACATTATTCTCAAAAATTAGTCATTAAAATATTGCTTCAATTTATTAATTTGTTAAAAATCTCCAAAAACTTATTTCAAAGTAGTTTAATATGTACAATTTTCTCATATTAATTTGTTCTTCAATAAAATGCTTTGAACATCTTTACTTTCTGCTATCCTGCCCTAATATATTTCATATTATGAAGGCCAGAGTTTATGAATATCCAAAGGAAAAGAAGAGTTAATTTGGGGAAATTCCAGTTTTCTTTTAGACCATTACGCCATAGAATGGGCTATGTATGAATGCCCAGAACACTATCTTTGGCTCTGACTACATGTAGGTTCTCACTCGGGCTGTGCTGCTGACTTACCTGTGTGAACTTTTGCCAGTCAAGGCTTCTGGCTGAGGTTCTGTTTCTTCATCCATAAAGCATAGATAATATTACTACCTATCTTAGTACTATTGTTTTTTTAAATTTATATATTAATTGGTACATTTTAGGTATACAATACATTTACATTTATCTTTGGGTGTTTGTACCTGAACATTATGTATCTTAGTTCTTTTTTTCCCCCCATTACTTATGTGCCCATCACCCCCACCACCCTTCCCTATTTACATAGACTTTGTTTCCTTTTTTTTTTCTTTCTCATAATTTTTCCTTTCCCTTCTTCCCTTTCCCCTTTCCCTCTTGCCACCCCTACCCCTCTGGAACTTTTCCTATTTCAAATTATCAATTATTAATTTCAGTCATTTTCATCCTTATTTACACTTTTAGTTTCTCACACCAAAGAAACTATTCGGTATTTACACATATGTGTCCTATTTATTTCACTTAAGAGTATGGCCTCAATATGCATCCATTTAGCTATAAATGACTCTAGTTCTCATTCTTTATGGCTGAGTAGTACTCCATTTAATTAAAGAAACCCACATCTTCTTTATCCAGTTTCCAGTTGACG